TATAGTAATGAAGACATATCTTATAACCTCAGGGGTTATGTCATAGATTTTTGATGGAAATGAAATGAAAAGTGCCAAAATGATATTGTACCCCCTCTCATAAAAAGCTTTCTTGATTTATACTGTCCTCTATTGGCACAAATTTGTGCTCACCAATAGCCTTGATACTCCTAATTACCCTCACAGAAACTAATGTGAGATATCCACATACTAACATGCAAAGGATTATGCAGCAACCCTCCACCATAACTAGCATCCTCTCTCATCTTGGAGCTGTTAACCTTCTCCAGATGTGTCACAGGTCAAAGGCCATGTCATTGCATTTGTTGACTCGCATTCAAAATTTTATTGACCTACTATTTCATGAATTTATGTCAATAAGTTTGAATAATCAAAAGTATGATTAAATTGATTATCATGAAAATAATAGACTAAAGTAAATTGTGGTTTCTGAGTTATTACTATTTTTAATTATTCCAGTTATTCAAGTAATCAAAATATTATCACCAAACTTGCTTACCCTGTGGCAAACTACTAAGGCTGGTAGCATCTACTGTCAACCTTGTTTTTGGAACTGCTGACTAGAAAAGAAGGCAACTATATGGTACCATTAACTGCCAACCTTTTTTATACATACTATAGATTAAGGGGCACTATACTAATCGATTAGTGGCATGACATACAAAAATAATCAGTTAATTAGAATTCGGGTTTTTTATTATTATATTACTATTTTTTATTTCATCCAACTATCCAAACAGTCAAAATATTCTGCTTGTTGTTAAGCAGAAAGCTACACAATGGGCTATTATTTTAGCCATCTTATTGGAGAATAATGCTTAGGTTTTTTCTTTTATTTTTAATATCTCATGAGAACGATTGATTAATGATCTGATGATTAATCGATTAGCAGTTTCCCAGCTCAACTTCAGAGGACATAATTAAAAGTTTTGTTATTATTGGGGACTTGATCACCAGTAATTATAATGAGTTAATGTGAACTGTGTCCCTGATTTAAAAAAACTCAAAATTTGCAGGATATTTTGAAAGAGAAACATTAGGTAGGCTTTATTAGTTAAGACAGTGTTGTGGAAAAGAAATGATTGGTGCAACAGGTGTGATTGTTCATAAAACTAATGTCCTCTGTAATATATGGATGCAAGGGGCTACATTTAAGTAGTTATTTGATTATTTGTTTGGTTTGGTGGGCGCGGAGATGGCCTTCATGACACAAATGGCTTTGTTACTTTGCTTATATTCTGTTAAATGTAATATGAATAAAAGTATGACCCTTTTTTTTCTTTTTTTTAATACTGATCAATTTTTAACTTCTTATAATAGGGAGAACATTGCTGCAATAGGTGGTGTTAGGATGAGTCATGGTGTAAGAAATTTAAGCTGTGAAGATAAGAGCTAAACCAGTTTAATTAAGATGTTTAAAATTTTATAGACGTACATAAACTACTCATTGGAAGCCTGGGTGATCATGCCAGTCTCCTAAGTGTAAAAACTTTTGGCTAATTCAAAATATGAATTTGGAATGCCAGTTGAAGGTAGATTGAGATAGAAAGATTAGATAGATCAAGACATGAGAGAAGCGGTGTAATGCTGGAGGATAGAAATTACTGGAAAAGAACTACCCTAGCTGACCCCAAAACTAGATGGGATTAAGGTCAAATGAAGAAGAAGATAAACTACTCATTGGATGTGTGTTTCAGTGGTGGAATGATAAGACTGGAACTAATGACTGAACTTAAAAACTTAAGAAAATGCAAGGTGATGGAAGGCCCTTCATCCATTCAAGGTCAACCCTAAATCAAAAAACAGTAGTAATAATGATAAAATTATTTTCTTTAATTCAAGATCAACCCTAAATAAAAAAACAGTAGTAATGATGATGAAATTATGTTCTTTAATTCAAGATCAACTCTAAGTAAAAAAACAGTGTTAATAATGAAAAATTATTTTCTTTAATTCAAGATCAACCCTAAATAAAAAAAACAGTAGTAATAGATAAAATTATTTTCTTTAATTCAAGATCAACTCTAAATCAAAAAACAGTAGTAATGATGATAAAATGATTTTCTTTAATTCAAGATCAACTCTAAATCAAAAAAACAGTAGTAATGATGATAAAATTATTTTCTTTAATTCAAGATCAACCCTAAATAAAAAAACAGTAGTAATGATGATAAAATTATTTTCTTTGATTCAAGATCAACCCTAAATCAAAAAATAGTAGTAATAATGATAAAATTATTTTCTTTAATTCAACTTAAATATAGTTTCTTTTTACATCTATATATCTGTTTGATAACAGTTTAAGAGAACTAATTCTAACAGCCAAAAACAATATTATTAGGGTTAGGAGTATAAAAACATAAAGCAAAAAATACAACTCTTGTAGAAGTGTGGACTTAAAAAATGGGCTACAAACCAGAAGCAGTTTTTGGGATAGTATTAGTCTTAAGAGTGGGTGTTGGTAGACTCTCTCCACCCAATGTTTTTGGGGTAACACCATTTTGACACTTCTATCTCCACCGTTATTTGCAATGAATAGTAGTTTGAGAGGTTTGAATTCTGCTAATTTATTTTCATATTGAGTTACCTTACACAGTCCACTCTTTTCTGTAACAGTCCATTATTGAATAGAAGACTTTGAAAACTGTTAATTCTAATGAAGAATGTTATCACAACATATGTTAGCAGTTGGTGGTTTGTTTTAGGGTTAAAAACAGAATTAGTTTTGAAATTAGAAAGGGGGGATACTTTTTTTTGAAGCCAGTAAAAAAAACTAGGATAATAGCTTAACCTAGTGAGGGGCAAGGAGGCTCATCCCTGCCTAGTCCTAAGAACATTTGTGATAACATTTTCAGTTTTGTGCCAATTACGCATTTTAGACCTAAACTGTGCAAACACTGCATTTTTGTGTAATTTAATGTTTACAATGCTTGAAAGGTGAGTTAATCACCTAGTGTTTTCTGTGTGTACTGTAAAGTTTTCCAAGTCCCGTGGGAACTTACAGTATCAACTATGTCTTGGAATCTTAGAGTGTACTTCCTGATTATGTACACTTATCAGCTGGAGTTCAAACATCGGAAATCTAAAAGTCATTCTGAACTTTGACTTTGTTTACAGTATATTGATATTTTTTTAAAATCAAATGCAGTACCAATCTTTTCTTTGATGTTAATTATGTGTAACTGATTGGAACTTGTATAATTTTTAAAATCCAATAACTAATTAAAATACAGCTTTTATATTTATGCAGTTAAAATATACTTACTGTAGCCTCCACTTAAAAACACTAAATGTTTTGACATCATCTTCAGGAGTAATTTGTAAGAGTTTTGTTTTCAGTATTTATACTCTTACTACAAGTTGTGTGATGTTATGTTATTTTTATAACTTACTGATCAATTTTTACAATAGGTCACACTATATACTAGTTCAATGACTTACTTACTGTACCTTCTTCATCTGTGTGTATAATGCTTCTTTTCCTTTTTTAAATTTTACTATTTCCAATGACTCTTGGATATTGATAACAGTCAAAGTGTGAAGTTGAGCAAGAATCATAGTTTTATTTTATGAAATTGTGTTGTGTTCATTCTGCTTTTGTTATTTCTTATGTAACCTTTGTATTATTGTAATCTTTAAGTTTGTTTTAGTTTGGCCAATATGAATACTCCTGCATCACATTCTATTTTATAAATCTCAGTTTTGTCTTTTAACTGTGATTTATCTTTGGTATTTCTCCAAATTTTTTAATATTATTCATAGAGGTTCTTCATTTTAATAAATACAACAAGAGCTATAAATTTCTCTCCCTATATTACCAAGGAGAGAAAAATAGCTCTTCTCAGAAAGAGTTCTTCATTTTAATAAGTACAACAAGAGCTATAAATTTCTCTCCCTATATTACCAAGGAGAGAAAAATAGCTCTTCTCAGAAAGAGTTCTTCATTTTAATAAATACAACAAGAGCTATAAATTTCTCTCCCTATATTACTAAGGAGAGAAAAATAGCTCTTCTCAGAAAAAGTTCTTCATTTTAATAAGTACAACAAGAGCTATAAATTTCTCTCCCTATATTACCAAGGAGAGAAAATATCTCTTCTCAGAACAAGTTCTTTTTTCTAGTACTTGTTGATGACATCTTTGATTCTTTATTTTACTCGTCAAAATCAAGCCACAACTATCCGTCTTGCATTGCAGAAAGTTAATTTGCACAAAATAATCTGAACCAGAAAATCGTGTGTATGTCTGTATGTATGATATTGGCTGGCCTTATGTAGGGGTTATATTTTAAAACGAAATTGGTCTTAAATTACATTGATTCACATGTGCTTTGTCTTTTCTTGAAATTAAGTGAATGAAATCCTCATATTTGCCATGCTGATTATAGTATTTTCAGTTTTTTAAATCCACTCTTGGATTTTTAAGGAGCACTGTTATTTCTGCTTCTTGGACAAAGTTAAGAAGCATGATTGCACTCCTTAAAAATGATGTTCTGTCCTGAAGATGGGTTACAAGTTTTATTATTTCTTAATGACGTTAAACAATTGTTTTGCCTGGAATATAATATAAACTTAGCTTTTTTTTTTAGTTTTCTCATAAACAAATTTTAACTATTTTTAACTGACATTGAACCATTAAGAAATTTATAAAGGCTTTAATTATAATAATTGTTAACTTTTTGTTTACCATTTGTATTTTAACATCTTTACTTGAAAACATTAAGTTTAGTTTCTTCTTTGATTTGTAACATTTCCGTTGCATGTGGAGTGAAACAGATTTTCTCAAGTTAAGATTTTTCTTAGTTCATTGAAATACCAAAGCACATTTTACATGTTAGACTCATAAAAGTTTAAAAAAAATACTTGGTGGTTTATATGGCATAATTTAATAAAAATGCAGTTTTTGTTTTTATAAATAAACATTTTAAAAAACAGAAACTTTTTCCCAGTTGCATAATGAAATATTTTTAAATAATGTTAGGAGATTCGGTTAATTGTCCGTGACCAAGAACAAACTGCTAGAAGAATTCTAACTGTATTACAAGGTGTGCATCAACCAGAAGGACTCAGAGAAAGTAAGTTTATATTGATAAAAGTAGTAGTTTAGACATTGTTTTGAAATAACAAATAGTACATGTACATTGTTATAACCAAGTAGTGTTGGAGTACTGAAGTTATATGTTTTGATTTAGAGTTTTGGACTGGTACATGTTGGTTGGTATTAAATTTATATTAAAGAAATTTATTTGTTTGGTTAGAGTTCTTAACTTCAGGAACATGTGGTCTGTGACAAGAGTATGTATTCCTCAAGTTATCAAATAGCAAAAATAGGAAAGTATTTATTAAAATACTTACTGTTCTGATTAATGTCAATGAAATCTGTTGTGAGATCTTTATTACTTTGGACTGTGAGTGGGTGACCTTAACCCTATCATGACTAGTAAACATCTTTTTCAAGTGTTTAATGTACACCTGAAAAAAGTCAAATTTCAAAATTTAAATAAAATAGTAACTTCAATTCTTTCTTAACAAGTTTAGCTAAACAAATATTTGAGAATTGATATTTAACATTTATTCAGTGTAATTTACAATGAAAATGCCAAAAATATTCGGAGTAGTCTCACCTGTAAATAATGCACTATCAATTTGCTTCTGAATTTTGTGACCCTTCTGAAGAATAAGTTTATATTTGCTAAGAAAGTATCATCCCTTGGAAAATACAGTGATTCATGTCTTGTTTTAAATATGATTTTTTTCCTCTTTTTATGGTTTTATTACCACAGCCTTTCATTGCCATTCAATTTTATTATGCCGCAGCATATAGTCTGAACAATTAATGATGAAACGTATCTTTGAAATACTTATAGCTAATTCTTGAATGTGATTGGATAGAGCAGATTATGATTAATCTACATCAATACAGAGTAAATAAAATGTGTTAGCAGTGATTTGTGATATTTTAAGATAAAGACTTTCTGAAGTTTTTGCAGTCATGGACAAAAGAATATAATAGGAAATTAGAACACATGGAAAACAGCTACAGATCTGGGAATGTTTGTAGAGCCTTATTATCCAATAGGCACAGTGCCTAGGGCCTATGAAAAATATATTTCAAATCATTTAAGAAATTTAAATATACAGTTATAAAAAATAAGTCTAAAAAATATAAATAGAATTATATTTTATTTTAATAGAAGAAAACGAGACAATAAGAGAAGGTTTTTTCAAACATTAAACAAAATTGATCACATACAATATATCAAAATAAATCAAATGCACTTTATGGGATTTTTTCAGTGCAAAATTTCTTATAATGTCATTGTGTCCATCTTTCGAAGCAGTTCACTCTCAATTGAAAGTAAGGAAAGAGAAGAGATCTGATCTTGGCCCATAGTTGATCTTAAACAGTTTTTAATTCTCTTTAAGTTTGGAAAAAGACCGCTTACTTTCACAATTGGTTGCAAATAGTCAAAGATAAATTTGAAATGCAATGTGGACATTAGGAAAACTGGTTATTAGTGCATTGTTGATTAGTTGCTTCAGCATTTCATTAACAGTTTTCTTTTCCGCATACATGTTTGAGAATAACAAAAATTTATCAACAAAGGATTCCTCCAAATCACTGGAATAAGTCTTTACCAGATTCCTGGCTTTCAAGATACATGCATCCCGGGACAGTGATTTGTCAACCAGGAAGCCAAATCTGACGTACAACATGGAATATGCTTCTCAATGTCTACGCATCTCAACAATGAGCTTGTCTACAATAGGATAAAATGTTTGTGTTTGAAATCTGTCACTCGCACTCATGGTTGAGACTGTGCCATCCCTGGCTCCTTCATCAAAAAAATGTTTCCTCACACGTTCGCGTTCAGTCCCCATCTTCTCTTGTAGTGTAGTCACTTTCAGAAAATTTCTTGGCCGTTTTTTTCAAAACTGTTAAATTTGTCACGAATCTCTGAGAAGTATGCCAGAAGACTGTCATACAATTTTACAACTGTGACCAATTCAGTTCCAGGTTCTTGAATAGATTTATTGGCTATGTTTAAGTTTTTAAGTAAGTCATTCCAGATAGTGCATATTAATGCAGTTTTAAATGTATAAAGTTTTTTGGCAAGGGATGTAGCTTCATGAACAGCCGAAGGAGGTTGTCCAGCACGTTCTGCAACACTGATCAGACTCTGAGTAGTTCATGAATAGGGCTGTCACGGCATCACTTCTTGCAGACCATCGTGTTTCTGAACTACATATGCAATTCTTTTGGTTTTGAGACTTTTAGTAAGTATACTCAATCTTTGTGGTTAAGCTGAAAAGAAATTGTATATGGACTGTAGAACACCAAAAAAGTTTACAGCTATTGTGAAACTTTCTACAGCAACAGATACTACCAAATTTAGACTATGGGCTGCGCATGGTATCCACCCTGCTAACTTGTTGATTTATTTGAATCTTGTTTGCACACCAGAGTATATCCCGCTCATGTTGCTTGCATTGTCATAAGATTGTGATCTGCACCATGCAAGATCTATTCCACTTTGTTGAAAAAATTTGGTCAATACATCAAAGAGGTACTTGCCATCATGTCTCTCAATAGGGATGAATTGCACAAATCTTTCCACAACTTTTCCATCAGAGAGCACATATCGAAGTATTACAGTAAGTTGATCAGTGTGGAATAAATGCTTACACCGTAGTACTTCGATTCTTTGATTTCTGTAATAATATGTTCCTCAACTTTTAATCCCAACATGTCTATAAATTCATCACAAATGGTCGAAGATAGGTAGGACACATATCCTTTTCTAGGATTTTTGAATTTTTCAACATGTTCAAGAAGAAAAGGATCAAATTCAGCCAATAATTCAATACACCCAAGAAAGTTCCCATTGTTTGGACTGCCAATGATTTCATTGTCACCTTGAAAGGCTAAGCCTCTCTCAGAAAGGAATTTTATAACAGCTACTATTCTTTTTAGAACTTCAAACCAGTATCTAAATGCTTTTTGTTTGGTATTTTCCATCTCTGCATCTATTCTAGTAGCTTTCTGGTGCTGCAACTTGTTAGAGAGTGCATGTAAATGATATTTTGCCTGCTCATGTGAGTATATTCAGGCAGTGGCGTTCTTCCAATCATCAAATCCTGTTTTAAATTGCTTGGGATGATCGTCATTAGAAAATAGTTTGCACACATACCAAAACACTTTTCCAGTTGAAGGCGAATAGGTCAACCAGTCACGTTTAATAGTCTCACCATTTGCCATGTGTCTGTAGAAGTATTCTTTTTGGACAAATCATTTTTGCATTCACTTCCCATTCAGCAGGATCACTGCTTCTGCATTGCTCCTCCTCACACAAGGCCGACACCGTCGACACGGGTGGTTGTGGTTCAGGTGGAGAACAATCTTCTTGAACACCGCATTCCTGTTGAAAACAAGAAGATGCTGCTACATCATCAGTCTCACAGATGGAGATGTCCTGTCCTCCACTTCTGGAAGTAACAAAACGGTCGGTTGTTGCGTCATCCTTTTTAAAAATTTTAACATTGATCCTTGCTGTTTTCGTATCTCTTCTTCCATGGATCCTCTTTTCTTTCTTTTGGCATGTCCAGATTCATGTTTTCTTCAATAATCATCTGCCATGTTTCAGCTATTTACCTGAAAGTAGAAGGAGGGAATATAATATATATATATATATATAAGTAACTGAATGTTGGTTGAGGGTCCAATATCCTGAAGGTGCCTAGGGCCTATGGAGGTTTTAATCCGGCCCTGAATGTTTGTATAGTTCCATTAAACCTTCTTATTTTTTCCTGAACATTTTTTAATGGTAGATTATAGTTGTTAGAAAGCTACAGAAATTTTCTTCTATAACACGATATCAGGTAATCCTAGTTAGGTTTAATGAGTACAGTAGATGAAGACAAAATATTCTGATGAGACTCAAAACCTTATTTATTGAATATTATTGTTAAGTTTATTGTGTTCCAACAATGCACATAAATATAATAACTTATAATATTTATTTAGTAAAAATTAACTATATTTATTAGATGTTTGTTGTTAAGCACAAAGTTACACAATGGACTATATTTACTGTGCCTTCCACTTGTATCAAAGCTTGAATTTCTGTGAGGATACCTCACCTCTGCACATAGAATAGCTTGATTCCCGTGTGCATCTGGCTGTGAGATTGGCATGTCACTAGCCTTGAGCTACCTCCCCCTTGAAAAACAAGTTTAACATGAACTGTGCTAGTACATGATGTCATCATTCCAAAACATACATACCTCCACTGACACTAATAGCTATTTCTCGATCTTCATCTTTGCCATCTAACGTTGTGTTCGCTTGCCCTAGTCTTTATATACCCCACCTGACTGCCCTTGGCAGTATCTAATTTGCAAAACTTTACGCCGGTCCTCACATGCCCTCTGTGCAGGTACTGTATATAAGCATTGTATGAGGACAATAAAATCACTTTTCCTCGACAAAGCACAAGCATTCAGACTAACATTTTGTGATTTACATTTTCTTAGTTTTCACTTTATAATAATCAGGAATTCTTTGTTTTATTATCCAGAGATATATTTCATTGAATGTATTTTTTGTTTTTCCTCCCAATATATTATAAAAAGAAAATTGGAAGCTGTCTGTGACCTGATTCAGGGCAAGATGGAGCCCTTCATGCAGCCCGGGGTATCTTTCCCGGAGGTTTTAATTTTAATTTTCATTCTGAAAGGGGAGAATTTAGACTCCATGTTTTCTGCTCCTTCTTTCACTAGAGCTTCCTCTCCCGAGGACTTATCTAATCAGCCACTTTCTGCCTAATTGGGACTTTAGGGTTGTTTTTCATGATTTGTCACGTCATCTCTTTGAACCCATGGCCTCCTGTTCATTATATCACCTTTCTCTCACAGTTTATTTTTTATTGTTGTTAGCTTCTGGATGCCATCATTCTGATTTATTTGCCATTCATGTTCAGTGGACTCTCTATCATTTATCTATATTTTGCTTTTTCCTGACCGATCATTTATTCCAAAAACTGTCACTGCCAGAGAAGGAAACAAATCTTTTTTCTCCTATTTATTTACCTGGCATTTCTCATCTTTACAGTAGATCAAACCTGAATTGTTTGTTATGTCCTGTCAATGTGCTCAAATGTTAGGTGGCTCACATGGAAATATTTTGAGGCCTTAGTAACACACTTTTTATTCATTTGGATCCTGCGCTATCCAAGGATTTATCACCTGTTACTTTAACCAGATGGCTTCAGAAGTTGATCCATGTTGCCTATTCGGGCTTATCTGTTAATGATTGCAATATGTTCCACGCCACCTCTCACCAGATTCGACACCTATCGATGTTTTTGGCTGCTCGGTTGAACTGTTCTCTAGAAGTTATTTTGTGGGCAGATATGTGGACTACTCCTGACACGTTCATATCTCATTACCTTCATGATCTGGCAGTTTCCTTTTTGATGGGATTTTGTCTTCCCCCTGTGACTGTATTGACTACCTCTACTAGTTTTTAACAGGGAGGTGTGTAACATGTTATCTGACTTACAGTTATTGTTCTTTTCTCTTCTAGGGTCCCTATTGATTTCTTTTGGATCCCACTCAGTGGTGAGTGTTGCCCAGTTGGGTATGTTTGTATTTAAATTCTGCTCTAGCAACCTTTATATCAGTTCCTGGTTGCAATGGGCTCTGTTGAGATGAGGTGTTCCATAAGACCATGTGGACGGTGGTGATATCTTATTACAACATTTCTAATGGACCGCTATTCATAGACTATAATGAGTAAAGCTAAAGGGGATTTTGCCAGTCCCTGCTGATCTTAGAGCTGAATCAATTGAGGTCAGTTTGTTTTTAAAAGTTAGGGAGCATTTGTTGTACTGTCTCTGGAGAACTGTTTCTCAGGAATCTTCAATGATTATGTTCCCCCCTTATTTCTACTAGTGGAGCTTGGGAGATCCTACCACACCCAGTTTCCAGTCACTGAGGTGGTTGACAGAGGATTTTCCTTCGAAGTGTTGAATTTTCTCCACTCTTGGAGAAGAGGATGAAGTTGGGGACCTTCCTACCTGGGTTCTTGGAAGTTTTTTCCCAGATGTTGGTAGGAACAGGACGAACCTACATGGGAGCCTACTCATAAAACCAGTCCAGATTTGATGCTTAGCTATCTGATGGGTAGGTGCTTGGACCCTCTTATGAATACTGCCAGGTCTTGTGTTGTTCATGCAGAGGGTCCACTATCTACTCGTAAATCTGAACGTGACACGGTCCCATCTTTGGTCCTTGGTGGGATAGTGTTTCACATCCTCTCCATAATTCAATGGGTAAGTGGAATTATCCTTGCCAACTTGGTGGGGGAGTATAGACAACTGTTTGTAAATCCAGACTGGATAAGTTCTGCACTTTGGTGGAGTATGGCATATGATCACGTCAATCCAGACTTGGGATGTTGCCTTTTGGATTTCTTCAGGTTGATCAGAAGAATTGTCCACTTTGGTGTTGCTTTCTTTCTTTCATAAATCTGGTGATTTGAAATGCATCATTCTGTGGTCACTGGTAGGGATCCTATCATAAAGATATCTATATCTGCAGTCCAACTGCCCTGGCCACCAATGAGGGATATGGGTACCCTGATCCCTTAAATCCAATCTGAGTTGTGGAACCTCAGCTGTTTGGTCGTGGCTGGACCATTATACTTGTATTATATTCCACCCTTTTCAATTTTCTATAGTTCTGAGTGAAGAGCTTACATATTCTGGATGTAGTGCAGTGTTCCCCACTGTGATACCACTTTTCGTGATACATATTTGTTTTCTGCAGATGCCTTCTGTATGATCTCTGTCATCACCGGCCTCTTTGCCTTCTCAGTGTGGGATGCTAGCTATTAGTGTCAGTGGAGGTATGTATGTTTTGGAAGTTATCATTTTCCTAAACTGAAAATGTATTTCCAAACATACTTACCTCCGCTGACACTCTCCCTGCTTTCCTCCCCACAAATAGTTGGTGTTAGTGACTGGAATGAAGTAAGTATAAAAAAGTGATTTTATTGTCTGCATACAATGCTTATATACAGTATCTGCATAAAGGGCATGTGAGGGCCAGTGTAAAGTTTTGCAAATTAGATATTGCCAAGGCAAGTTGAGTGGGGTATATAAAGACTGGAGTAAGCGAACACAATGTTAGAAGGCAAATGTGACTTGTCTTGGTGACTTATCTGTGCCAATACCACAGTGGGCATTCCATTGCCACTTTCCTGATTTCCTCCTTTTTCGTCATTGCTAAAATGACTTCTAAGAAAAACATATTAGCACTTGAACCTTGGTTCTCTCAGAAGTCTCTCCAGAGGATTAAGGATTTTTCTTCACTGTGAAACTTGTATAGTAGTAGGAAGGGTCAGATCATAAATACTTATAAATTGTAAAGAAAACATATTTAAGAAGATCGTTCAGTTCAACCACCTAAAAAAAACAAAGTTTGAGTTTTTAAATTTAGCTGCATAGATAAATTAGGATGGTTAAAATAAAAAAAACTAAATTTTTCAGATGATAATGTTCCTGGCTATGATCAAATTTATTCCTGAAATGGATGAGTAGGGAACTGTTAGAAGCTAAAGTGTTGTCTTTCCAGATTCTCTGGAAATTGGAAGGGAATCCAGATGTTTAAAATATTCCCAGTTTTATTTATATGTAATTTATATAGAATTACAAAAATTAGTATCCTGTTAATTTGTCTTCTTTCAGTAAGGTAATAGAATCTCATATTTCTAAAATAAGTTAGTGATAAAAGATTTTTAGTGTTCTTGGTGTGTGATGCTGACTTCTGTAGGTCATCTGGCCTTCAGTCATCTTAGTTTTTTCACTATTATTAAAAAACAAAACATGATTCTTGTTTCTATAACATTTTAAGAAACAAATTCAGGATTTAAGTAAAAAAGAAGCTAAAAACTGGAAGTAAAAGAATTACAAAAACATCATTGCTGTTCATATAATTATTTCATACCCCATTTTTTTGCTGTATTAACTTCTAAGTTATGGAATACCTCCAAAACCATAAATACAGGATTTCATTTACCTGTATTTGACAAATAATATACTTGAGGCCTTTCTTTCTGTGTAACATTATTTAACAAGAAGTCCAGTGTTAGTGTGTTTTTTCTATTAAATTTCTTTTTTTGCTTTTCTCATTTTTAGTACCAGCTATATGTGAAAAAGCTAGAATATTGTTTGAAGATGTTAGAAAACACTTTAAAGAACTGAAGTCTAAGGTTCCTTCAGATCAGTACTACAAGTAAGTATGGTTATGTTTATGTTGAATGCCAAGGCTATTGATAATTAAACCTGTAGATGATAGTTAATAATAACTGGAGAAATGAAAGTATTTAAAAATGTATAAAAGCATTTTCATGCTCTTCATGTTAGAAGTTCAGAATATCTTCCATGAAGAATCTAATGATTACATGAGAGAGTATTGGAGATATGTGTGTGGATGAACGGGTAAATTGGTTATATCTGTGGCATGTTTTAAGGAGAGATGTTTGCATAGTATTGGCTTCACTTAAGCATGAAGAATCTAATGATTACATGAGAGAGTATTGGAGATATGTGTGGATGAACGGGTAAATTGGTTATATCTGTGGCATATTTTAAGGAGAGATGTTTGCATAGTATTGGCTTCACTTAAGCAGGTTAATAAATAATGTTTAGGGCAGCTCCAGATCAGAGGTTCCCAAACTGGGGGGGCCTTAGCAAGTGCACAAAATACACAGTGCTGTTAAGGTACTCAGTAGCTATAGATTCATTGGGTGGGGGCCTCAGTTAGGATGCCGAATGTTTGGGAGGAATTTCTTGTGCTGAGAAAGTTTGGAACCCTTTACTTTAGGTGTCTCTTCGAGACTTACAAAGTTTAGGTAGATGGTAAGGGAAACTTTTTTACCCTGGGGGATTAAGTTATGGATTATTGAAAGACTTGAAGCAAACACTTGTATTCTTAAGAAGAAAGAAAACTTGATTTATTTTATAATTATTTAGGAATCTTTGCATCAGAAGCTCCAGTTGCAGTTAGCATGTGAGATCAGTTTTGGTTAAATGAAAATTATAAGAATGTTATTTTAGGCTTTACTAATGAAAAAGGAAAGGGGTAAATTAGTTTATAAGAAATATTACTTTAAACTTTTAGCTTAAATTACTTATAATTCATGTAAGCAATCAGTGCACTCTTTCTTATGTGTTGGTATCTAACTTGGATCAGTTGAAACATTCAACAGAATTATACAAGATTAAAACAATCTGTGTTCTTAAATCCAAAGTTCATATAAACCGAGTCAAGAAATTACATTTCTCCATGCTCAGCAATGTTACTTTTCACATAAGCTTTCAGTTAGAAAAATCTAGTGGTTACTTCATGTTTTTGATTCATTCCTTAGATTTGGGTTTCTCCCAAATCATCTTCAGGTAATGAGAAACTAAAAACGTATTACCAAAAGTCATGTTTATACTATCAAATCATACCAGTCTTATTACTTGTGCAATTGTAATTTAGTTGCTTTTAGTTTTTTATTTACATTTCTTTTTTTAAATAAAATTTTGATTTAATTCATTTAATACGTAAACGGAAATCTTAACAAATGTAACATGTTGTGAGTGTATAATTTATATTTATCTTTAAATGTTTTTCCAGAGATTTAACAAGCTCATCTATAATGATAAAATAACACAATAGTGTGTGTAGCAGTTAAAAAGTTAGTGAAATGAACCACAGTAAATAGAACAAACTATCAGAAGACTTGAAATTAAGGAAGCTAGTTTCATCACATTTGTACGTTTTCTTCAGGCTTCGGAAGACAGAGTGAGAGTGAAGAGGATATATGAAACTAGTTTCTTTAATTTCAAGTCTTTTGATAATTTTTTTTCCATTTACTGTATTATTTTCACAAACCTTTTAACTGCTCATCTCTATTTATTAATTTTATTTGGCTAGATTTGCATGTAACAGTTAAAGTCTACTTTAAATCTCCTTTTCCATACCATTAAAAGTTTAAGCTCTTTCAATTCTTGATTACGCTCTGGAACATTCGAGGGTTTTTGAGGAATTAGAGATTCATGTATTCCAAAGATAAACTTAATAATGTTGTGGATAACAGCTACTTACTTTTATTAAATATAGTTTTTCAAGTAGATCAACTAAACCTTACTTTTTATTATTATTTTAAGATTTCATGATCATTGGAGATTTGTTAGTCAAAGGCTGACTTTTGTAGCAGCCTTGACTGTCTACCTTGAGACAGAGTCTTTGATAGAAAGGGAACAAGCAGCAGAGATGCTAGGAGGTAAGAATCAAATGTCTGTTTCAGAGTTACATGTATATGAAATGAGATTCCACATACATATGAGAAAGTATCTCCTTTTTTATATTCAAATCATGAAGTTTATAATGGGTCAGTATTGTGTTTTTTCTTATCCAAATAATTATTTTAGAATGAAATGAGGATGACTCTTAACTCTAGTGCACTATGTACCTCACAAAAAGCTTTCATTTGATGACTGAATCCTCATTTTTTTTTTTGACATTATTTACAATCATTTTATACATTTCAGTGTAGAATGTTTTTTTATGTATAATATGTAGATAGTGCATGCTGATGACTAATTCACTTGTTTTGACAGATTTACCAATTTCATTCGAAACTGAAGTATATCCTAATATAGGGGACAGTTGATGATCAGTTTTCAGAAATATTGCTTAAATGGTTAGGTGCCTTGTATAGTGACTTTCAACATCCAACTAAAACTTTGTAGGAAGGTTTTTATCGATAATTTTATCCTGCATGACCATGATTAATTATTTTCTGCTTTTAAAACTTGTATGTAGTTTAAAAGCCTCCAAGTGATACAGTGGTAAATTTTCAAACTTAACTAGTATGCTATGCTTTAACTAGTACTTATTTGTATGTAGTTAAGCACAAAGCCACACAATGAGCTATCTCTGCTGTTCTCACCACGGGTATTGAAACCAGCTGTCTCGTGTTATAAAAGTTTGTAATTATTGAAGAAATATTTATACTGTCATTTATTATGTAGTTAAAGTTTAAATAAAATACCTAAGTGATGTTACTAATATTTCTAACATTATACTGAATAATCACTATATGTCAAAGTTCATGTACTGATTCTGCTGTGACCAAACCAGTTTAACTCTATTGGCTAGTTTGATGTTTCTCTAAAATGACTGCATCTATTAGCATAACTTTTCTAAATATACTATTGTGATAAAAAAAAAGTCAGACCTTTGACCTTTTTTTTGTTTTTGATATTTCTTAATGTTTTCAATTAATTTTTTTTGCATTGATATAAAACACATCCTAAAATAGATATTTTTTACTGTATTTCTTAAACCTAGGTTTATAGTTTACAACCATATTTTCTTATGACAAAACTACAGTTTTATTAAAAATAGTATCAGTATATGTATGGATATTGTGTCTGCACATAAAACGCTGAGATACTGCAGTAAAAAATACTGAAATTTATAAATAAATCAGCAAAACTAAAAACTTTTTGTTATTGCTCAGAATTTTTAATATTGCATATTTAGATAATTTGATCACGCGTCTGATTTGCCACCCAGTGGCACAGCGGTCTGTAGACTTTCAACACTAGAAACCGAGTTTCGATACCTGTGGTGGGCAGAGCACAGATAGCCCATTGTGTAGCTTTGTGCTTCATTACAAACAAACACATTTGATTTAAATATAATTTTTATTCTTATATTTTACTTTGCCCATAGGAACACTATATTAGATGTAAAAAAACAGCTAATTCTGCTGCTAGATTAGCATTTCTGCTTGAGTTGACATGAAGGGTTGAATTTGAATTATCCAAGTTCAGCTTACTCCAGAGATGCACTGCTACTAAGTCTAATATTTTGATCTGAGCCAGTTCTGAACATTTATCGTTTATGAAAGTATATACAGTATATACATTTTATAACATTGATAAAGTATCAGGCAGTAATAAAAGAGTAGCTCACACATCATAAAGAAATAAAAATGATTTATCATGAAGCTAGTAATTGGTCTGAAAACTTTTTTGGAACAGCTGTTGTACCAAATCAATGAAACTGTTTCAAGGTCCCATTTATTACACATGATATAATATTCCATTTGATATTTACACATTTCTTGAAAATTGGATATTGTTTAATTAAATGGCATGTGACAAACCATATTTAAGGTTATCTTTGATAGATTGTTTAGGCAGAGTATTCATAACGAATCTAAGTTTCAAATGGACAGCAACTGCCTGTTGTAGAAACCTACAGATGTAGAGGATGACATTTTGAAAGTCTTCCGCCTTTCGTTTTATGCGACTAGTATACAAGCACAGTTAAGTATATAAAGATTTAATTAATATTATTTAACTGTGTTCAGTACTTATATGACCTCATTCTGAATAAGTAACTGTCACTCCTGGGTTTTCTAAAAGCAAGGAATTAGTTAACTTTTCAGAGTTAACTTCGTACTTTTCAGAGAAACATGTTATCGAGTTGTTTAGCATTTCAGAAATGGATCGTGCCACATGCTGCTATATATAATATTGATTTTAAGCATGTGTACCACACTCAGGTTTTATTATATTCAGCACTATCAAATTTCAGTCAAAAATTGTTAAGGTATAAAATTATGGAGAAAAAAAGTTTAACAATGTTTTACGGTAATCTTGCTTAAAACTTTTAGGCTCTTTTACTTTTTAATACCTATCTATATCTCTGTCTATCCTTCATCTACAAAACAGAGTTATCTATCTCTCTCTCTCTGTCTGGTTTCATAAATTGTGAGGAAAATGCTAAACCAATTTCAATGAAATTTGGTAGAGGAATTCAGATGGATCAACTCTAGAGATTCAGTTTATATGGTTAAGTTCCCTTTAATGGGTGGTTTGAGTTTGGTAACCATTTCACTTTTACCACCATAATGCCACAAATGAGGGCTCAATTGACTGAGGAGGATGGTAGCAAAGTATAATTTGAGTACTTTTGAATCATCTGATGAACAGTTCCTGTTCTATAGCTCAAAATGTAAAAGGGAGCACTCCACGTTCCCATTTAGAGCATTACCTTGTAAGTCAAGTAATTCTGAGTACTTTTGCTAGTATACACTGAGTGGTCACAAGTAAACAGACACCTAATTTTTCATCATTTAACTGATTTATGCTAACTAATTTGTGTTAACAGAGCACTATATAAATGAAAATGGTCTACACACTAATTATCTTGTGCTACAACATGCCTAGAACTCATGGTTCTCTCGAATTGTCAGATTTTGTTAGAGGAAGGATAGTTGGTCAAGCAGATGGTGGAATAAGTCAGCGGCAAATTCCGCTTTCGACAGTCAACAGAATCATCATGCAGTTCGGGAAACATGGCAAGGAAACAACTGACCAGCGTCCGGGTTGTCATGGTCCATCGGAGAGGACAAAAAGGGCTGTCAAGAGAAGCATCGAAATGGATCCCAGATTAACGATTGCAGAAATGGCCAAAGTTGGTGGGATGAGCCTGAAATCTGTTCAACAGATTCTCCACAGATTGGGTTATCGTTGCAGAGCAGCTAGACGGAAGCCCTTATTAAGACCTGCCAACATAGTCAGATGAATCAAGATTCGCTCAATTTTCGGACAGTGGAAGGATATGGGTATGGAGAATGCCTCACCAAGAGTTTTGGCTCAACAGATTGCAGCCAACTGTGAAGCATGGTGGTTTCAGCGTGATGGTTTGGAGAGCTGTTTGGGTTGGTGGAAGATCGAGCTCAGTGGTATGCGTTAGTAACATAAATTTTGTGAAATACGTCGAAATATTGGAGGAAGGACTCTT